AAATGTGTGGCCCCAGGGTCAGGGGTTCTAGTGGGGTGGAGGCACTACTGATTATATAGTGGAAATGCATTTTTTCTTTGTTCCTCTGCTCTGCATCTGGGTATTAAGTAATCAAACTAAGCATGCTAAGTGTATAAATATAATGAGCAATTGTGCTTCTTTTAAAATTGTGAATATCTTGGACTCTGGTTTAAAACACGAACCAAATTGTTGGAATGTTGTAACATGATACTCAAGTGACCTATAAGGCCTGTGGGCCTATTGTTATTAATGCACACCGAGAATCTTACTACAAACACTTGACCAATCTTTGAATGTAAAATCCACCTGTGACTTCACTCTTTTGTTTGAGTGCTCCATTATTTTTCAGGATTGGAGAGTTGCAAATTACACTGAAAACAGAATTTGTTATGCCGTACCTCTACCGAGGAAAGAACTTAGAAAATTTTAACAAGCTTATTTTCACATAAAGAAAATAAATGTGGCACTGTTGAGAATCCAACCCAGTACCTTCACCTTCGGAGTTAGGTACTCATCTCACTATGCTATTGAAACTGTTGAATGACAGCAGATTTAAATTACTTCAGTACACTTTTTTCGCCTTACTTTCTCTCTACATATAAATAAATACTACTAATATGTTAAATGTATATTTACAATGTATCTTATAAATATTCTATCTTATATATTAATAAACAATAATTACAAGCATTTAAAAAAGGTGGATTTTTCGCAGGTTAATATACTTGTAGTGCTCCATTCCTTCAAAGCAATGGGCCTTGGCCCCTTCGGGGCCTCGGCTCCATTACTTAGGAATGGAGCACTACTCGTACATTAACCCTTACGAATAGCAACATTTACTGGACAACTACATGATTGTTTACATTTTTACTTTGAACAAATGGTTCAGGTCAATCTGATATTAAATGGATAAAATAAAGAAAGAACTATATTAATGAAAAAATACAAAGATTAGAAAATATAAAAGGTGTCTTGGGCAATTGTAATTTGTTGTTAATAGTACAAAATATAATGTAGTCTGTGCCACGTTCAGAACACTAGCGCTTCAACAGGCCGTGTACACTACCTTATATGAAAGGCAATTTTCAACACGTGACAGTGTTCTTGTCATACCCGTTCTCCAATCAATTGAATAAGCCCCAAAGCATGAGTCTACTACGTGTTTATGATTCAAAAGCGACACGTGGTTTTTCGTCGGTTTACTGCACAATATTTACTTCATCACTGGAAAAAATGTAGAGCTTCTGTTTTACTTTATAAGGCCAAAATTGATTTAATATTTTCGGGTACTATTTGGCTAATAATCATCAAAATTTGTCAGTTGATGTATCTTGGGCCCTCGAAGTAGGTCGACTGAAAAGTAGGTCACCGTAACCTAATTCATATGACTATATTTTGGGTACTTGTTGGCTTACCCTAACAAAAAAATACTGTAGTAAACTATAGTTAACTTTGATTTACTATAGTGAAAACTTTGGAACTTTGATTTACTATAGTGAAAACTTTGGAACTTTGATCTACTGTAGTGAAAACTTTGGAACTTTGATTTAGTGAAAACTTTGGAACTTTGATTTACTATAGTAAAAACTTCGGAACTTTGATTTACTATAGTGAAAACTTTGGAACTTTGATTTACTATAGTAAAAACTTTGGAACTTTGATTTACTATAGTTAACTATAGTAAACTATAGTTAACTATAGTTTACTATAGTATTTTTTTGTTAGGGTAGAATCATCAAACTTTGACCTACTTCTTGATTAATATGACAATAATTAAATATTTCAGGTACTACTTTGGCTTAGAATCATCAAACTTTGTCAGTTGATGCATCTTGGGTCTTCGAAGGAAGTCAACTGAAAAGTAGGTCACTGTGACCTACTTTCGAAAATTTATGGCTTTAATTAGATATTTCAGGTAGTAATTCGCTTAAAATCATCAAACTTTGTCAGTTGATGCATCTTTGGTCCTCGGAGTACAGCAACTGAAATGTAGGTCACCTTGACCTACTTTTAAAATTTTTATTTTATATTATATTGTATTTAATGTTTTCGTGTACTATTTGGCTTAGAATCATCAAACTTTGTCAATTGATGTATTTTGGGTCCTGGAGTAGGTCGACTGAAAAGTAGGTCACCTTGACCTACTTTTCAACTTTTATGACTATAATTAAATATTTCAAGTACTAATTGGCTTAGAATCATCAGACTTTGTCAGTTGATGCATCTTGTATCTTCGGAGTAAGTCAATTGAAAAGTAGATCACTGTGACCTACTTTTGAAAATTTATAGCTTTAATTAAATATTTCAGGTACTAAATGGCTAAAATCATTACAGATTGTCAGTTGATGCATTTTGGGTCGTCGGAGTACAACAACTGAAAAGTAGGACACCATAACCTACTTCTCAATTTATATGGCTATAATGAAATATTTCGGGTACTATTTGGCTTAGAATCATCAAACTTTGTCAGTTGATATATCTTGGGTCTTCGGAAGAAGTCGACTGAAAAGTAGGTCACCTTGACCTACTTTTGAAAATTTATGGCTTTAATTAAATATTTCAGGTACTAATTGGTTTAAAATCATCAAACTTTGTCAATTGATGCATCTCGGAGTACAACAACTGAAAAGTAGGTCACCATGACATACTTTTGAAATTTTAAGGCTGTATTTAATGTTTACGGGAACTATTTGGCATAGAATCATCAAACTTTGTCAGTTGATGCATCTTGTTTTATTTCTTTATTTAAATATTTTTAGGTATTGATTGGCTTAGAATCACCATACTTTGTCAGTTGATGCATCTTGAGTCCGCAGAGTTAGTCGACTGAAAAGGAGGTCACTGTGACCTATTTTTGAAATTTTTTGGCTGTAATTAAATGTTTCAGGTAGTAATTGGCTTAGAATCATCAAACTTTGTCAGTTGATGCATAATTCAAGTTGCCCTTTATTTTCAACACAACTGAGTTCTTGTAGTAGCCCATAATGCATTGCAACTCATTCATTAGTGGGTAAAGTAAACAGACAGCTAATTTGCATGCAAATTTATGTTGACATCAGAAAATCTAGTGGTCTAGACCTGTTTAAGGTTAAGGAAAATGAACGAGCAGTATATCTTAGGCATTAAAATGGACAACAGATCTAGAGTTTTTTCACATTACAATACCCGTGATTACATGATTGTGTCTTTGGCCATGGAACCATCCTGATAATTGTATGCACCAATAGTTTAACAAATAAATACAGACGCAAATCCCCTTACAGTATGTCTTTGAGAAACCTAGAATTCTACATTTATTTAACAAATGAATTTTTTGAATTGTGAGCATAGAAATTTAGAATAAAAATGGACAGATTGCTTTTCATCTGCGAAATGCATGAAAAAATGTTGTTTGTGCCTTTCTGATCGCTTTTTCCAAGCATAAAATACCTATAGTATCCGTAGTATCCCACAATTCAACTCATTCAGTTGATTTGTCTATTAAAGTCATGTTGGTACCTCATTTGCTAATCTGACGCCAAAAATATATAACCCCAGTTCCCATGCAAGTTAGTTTGTCCAAAAAGAAATTGAATAATACATGTATAACTGCAGAAAATAGAGAATACTTATTGAACTTTGTATGGATTCAAGAGAGAAATACATGTTTTAAGATTATTAGTGTTGATTAAAAGAAAAATTAACTCTTGTTATACAAGTACATGATTAGTCGTTTTAATATGGTAGCATCTTTCGTAGTGTCAATTAAATTTTACTTTATTTTTTTACCCGGGGGGGGGGGGGGGGGGGGGGGGGGGGATAGAGTAGAGCCACAACAGAAGAACAAAGTCTTACATTTAAAAAATATTGGTGAAAAATCTGTTGATAAAGAATGGCAGGGCAATAGTGAACGGTTGGTGCTAGGGCTTTCATATTTCACATGTGTAATTCTTCTGACAAGACCTTTCTTTGGATACCAACAACTTTGACCCTTTGACCTTGGAGTTTGACCTACTTTTGAAAAACTTTAACTGTGGCTATAACTTTTGAACAGTCGGTGCTGGGGCTTTCATACTTTACATATGTAATCCTTATGACAAGACCTTTCTTTGGATACCAACAACTTTGACCCTTTGACCTTGACCTTGGAGTTTGACCTACTTTTGGAAAACTTTAACTTTTGTCATAACTTTTGAACCATTGGTACTTCGGCTTTCATATTTCACGTGTATATTTCTTGGGGGAAGGCCTTTTCTTTGGCACCATTAATTTTGACCATTTTACCTTGATGTTTGACATACTTTTGAAAAAACGTTCGTCTTTTCCGTATCTATTCAATGGTTGCTGCTAGGGCTTTCATATTTTACAGGTATATCCCTCGAGACAAGACATTACTTTGCGTACCAACATATTTGATTTGCATTTGAGAAAGTTAAACCTTTGCTATAAGTTGCCATACGGGGGTATCAGTGTTTCACAAACACATCTTTCTTTTATCAGCAAAAAGGGTTCTAATGACAGTTATTCTTCACATATCAACAGTACATGACACTTGTGTGATAACAGAATACTATCTGAATTATCATTAATTGTGTCTTCTTGTCACGAAAATGCAGCTAGAAAATCTTTTTTGCATTTTGTGAGGCATTTAATGTTTTTTTAATTTTATTATTGCAGATTATACGCCCCCTTTGTTCATCCATGGAAAATCCACGAGTCTTAAAAGATCAACAAGTGTGAATCAAATTGATGCTTTAGAAAGTGAAACCTTCAGAAGTGAATTGGAGAGTATACTCCGTAGAATTGAGTATGTGGACTGTAATAATATTTGTGGACATTCAGTCAAGCATTGCTCAATAGGAAAAATAGAGGCATGCAGTGAATTTAGTACCCAGGGTATCTTTGGATGGACCAACTATTGCAGAGAAAAGATTAGAGAGGCACGGACCCAGACATGTAAATGTTTCGTCAGCACTCTCTGTGTTTTTGTTACCATGAAAATAAGGGACATACTTCCACATGTAAAAGTTAATGAACAGCAATTTGTTGTAAAACATTTAATGGATTTTGCAATTGAAAGCAGGAACTACATACTGCTATCGGAGCTTGTGCGCTTGTTTGCATTTCATTGTGACTTTCAGTTGGAAACATTATTTATGAAAACTTCTAAAAAGATAAATGTTGTTATTGTTGACACAATTTTACAGTCAGCAAAATGCATGATTCTAAGAAAATATGGAAGTCTTCTGCTAAATTCAATTCAGTTGTCTTTGTGCTATGACTGTGAAAAGGGAAATCTTGTAACTATTGCTTTTTCATATAAAGGTAGTATAGAAAGGATTGATATAACCCAGGAAAAAGTCATGGGAAAGAAAATGTTCATTTATAATCAAACAAACCCATCTAAAGAAGCATGTATTGTTTTTAAGTCCTATGCAACCTCACATTCAAAGGAAACATTGCCAACAATCTCAGAAAAAGAAGCAAGAGAATTGTTCAAAAGACATTCCAATCTAACAATGATATCAGCTTCACCTTGTAAATCAGTGGGATATTCAAAAGGAAAACACAGGATCGTGGAAAAACCTTGTATTCTATTATTATGTTTACATAAAGGATACATTCCCTATGGAGAAGGAGAGTTCCCAAGAAAAATTGGAGATGCAGAGGTAGATGTTCAAGAGGGCTTCTGTAACTTTGGAAAGTCGCTAGAAATGGGAGGAGATATCCGTCGTAAAGGGAGTAAGAGTGTTGGGAGTATTGGTGGGTTTGTCAATCTAACTGGAAGTAAAATTGGCTTAATAACTTGTGCTCATGTGGTTCTATCTCATAAAGAGCTGGAAAAGAGACGATTAGATTATCTTCCTGAGGTAGAGACATTTATTAATAGTGCCCATTCATATAAAGTGTGTGGGAAAGTTATAAATGCAGAGTTTCCAAAACCCGACGATTGCAATTTAAATCCATTAGAAGGATCTAGTGTCGACGCTGCACTTATTGAACTCACCTCATCATCAAGTGTCGCAGGTTTTCTTACAGTGACAGAGGAGCAGTTGCGTTCTGCAGGTGATAATTTTTTACCCCTGATGATGTTTTGATGCGCTTTAAGAGCCCTCTTTACACCGCACACAAAAGAGTTCTGATTTTGTGGTATTTTTATGCAGATAGAGTAATCTGCCCTTTGATCTAAAATAAAATAAATTGAAATGTACAGTTTATTAATTAATCTGTGATGAAATCAAGCATTCATAACATTTTAATAGGCCAAAATGAATAAATTGAACACTTCATTTGCAGGTATTTTGCCCACTTCAGTAAACAACAGTGATTTCTGTTTACCAGAACTTCATTGTCTTTGAACATTTTTCATGGGGGTAAATGCAAGGTAGTCTATGTTGAAAATGTAATAGATAAGCTCAATATTTACACCTTTACATACTATAATTTTCTCAATGTCCAAAAAATCTTTTCATTTAGTGTATAGAGGGTCCTTAAATATATATATTACATGTACATATTTACTAAATTTAAAAACATTGAGGCTAGTTTGGGCCTAAAAATTGTTTAATGTGATTTACAAACACCATGTTAGACACACAAATATTGTTTTTGATTTGCATAATTGATATGTTTAAATTAAACCAGTCAATTTTGTGTGTTTAGCTAATATGAGCGAGAAATCTGATTGTCTGACGTTGGCATTCTTGTTGACATTTCAAACTTTCACATTCTCGTCTTTTCCCCCCAGAACCAATAGATGTCTACACATGTATTTCATTGAAATAGCTTTATAAATCTTTTCTTATGCACAGCCACAATATAAACTAAATTATTTTGCAAGCGTCCATTGATAGTGAAGATTCTTATTTATTTCAACCATCATTGCTCTTACATGTAGGTTTAGTTGGGAATATGTATTTTTTTGTCCCCCGCTTTCATTGAAAGTGGGGGATATTAATTTGGGTCTGCCTGTCCGTCCGTCTGTATTTCTGTTTGTCTGTAACACTTTCGTTTCCGCGCGATATCTCGAGAACCCTTTGAGCTTTTGCAATGAAATTTTGCATAGCAACTCCCTATGGCCTAAAGAAGAACCCTGTTGATTTTGAGGTCAAAAGGTCTAAGGCCAAGGTTATAAATTAATAAATTCTGTCTGTTTTAACACTTTCGTTTCCCCGTGATATCTCGAGAATCCTTTGAGCTTTTGCAACGAAATTTTACATAGCAACTCCCTGTGGACTACGGAAGACCCCTATTGATCTCGAGGTCAAAAGGTCAAAGTTCAAGGTCGTAAATTCATACTTTTCGTCTGTGTGTAACACTTTCGTTTCGGGGCGATATCTGAAGAAGCTTTTGAGTTTTTGCAATGAAATTTTATACCATAACTCCTTAGGGCTTCTCTAGCCCCTTTCAATGAGTCCCGCCCCGTTTTTTTTTTTATATTATTTATTGTATTAAAAGTCGCTTGGCATTTTTTTTAGCACAGGGGCATGTGGAAAGTTATTACGTATAATGCAGTTTGTCGGCGGACTTAATATTCTTATTACATCTATTAGAACTGTTTAGTAAAGGCTAAATTAGACACCATATATTGTGTAAAATTTTGACAATATCGAACGTGAATATAAACATTATATGTGACCTACTGTTTGCATTTAATTTGCTACATAATCAAGTGCCTCTGTGGTCTAGGAGTATGACTCTCGCTTAGCATGTGAGAGGTGCCGGGTTCAAATCCCGGACGATCCTTTTTTCTTTTTTTTTTTTTTTTGGATTTACTTAATGATAGTATTCAGCAGGTGAAATGGAAAAGTTATGACGTCTGGCTTGTACAATCTCATAAAATCATTATAACATGATAATGTGATAAATATTCTATATAAAAATATAAAAAGAATCTTCTATACACATATTAAAGAATTAGCAATCAAATCTTTATATCCATATTGGCATTTTTTATTTGTTACAATATACATGTATACATTTAATAATTCTACAAATCCGGGGGGGGGGGGGGGGGGTCCGACCCCCCCCCCGAACTGTGCATGCTCTTCTTTTTTCCCTAAGCGGGGGACACAAAGAACGATAGTATTGTTCTGCCACCTACCTCAAAGTCAATTTTCAAAAATTAACACATTTGAATGATTTTTCGTATTTATATAGATATTTATATGAATTTACTTCTTTGGGAAAACAAAGAGAGATAACTCTATAATTTTGGTAAAACTTGTGTTTTTCACTATAGAAATCAATGGAAAACGAAAAATATTTTTAAAATACCCCCCCCCCTCGTGAAACAAAAATTCCTTTTTACAGGTAATATGGACTCATTTTACAAATTCAGACCAAAGCTTTTTGTGTTTCACGGGGGGAACATATGTTTACAGACAAAAAAAACTACAAAAATGCTTGTTTTTTTCACTAATTTCACCAATTTCAAAGGGGTTTACAACTAAAACATTGTATCTTACAACTAAAACATTGTATCTTATTATTGATATATGTTTAATTTTATATGCGTAAAACATAAGAAAAGATCTAAGAAATATTTATTCATATTCAAGAATATTTAAAATATGGTGATGCTTTAAAGCCCGATTTTAATGGAAAAGATCGTCTACCCCCCTTATTTAAAGAGCTGGAACTAGGGGTAATTAACTATTAAACACTGGCATTAAAATTATCAGTCAATTACCATTGAACTGTTCTTTGCATTCAACAGAGATTTTACGGCCAAATTGCCATTAGTATTGAATTAAATGGGTGTTAAATGTAGGCGGGAATCAAGTTAGCGTACGTAGTTCTCTGAATTAGCTTGTTTAATTTAATATATATGTTTGTGAAAAATTATTGTACCCTGGGCTATAAGAGGTATACAAAATTTAAAATTGGAAATATGTACAAAAATGTAGTAACTTTTCCAAAAAGTTTAGAGAATACTAGTAGCAGGACAACTCTAGATCATGATTATTGATATCCAACAAGCATCGAGACTATGGGCATCCAATTATTAATATTTTTTACTAAATCTGTTTCTTATCTTGCTTATTATCAACAACAATTATTATTAGTTCTATTTTACAGGATTTCAAGCAGACAAACCACCAAAGTTCCATGGGAAAATTATCCCATTGCTTAACTTGCCAAAGTTGGTTTCTGATAGTGTTGTGAAATACGGAGCCACGACAGGATTAACACTAGGCTGTCTCTTCAATGAATGTATGCATGTTCGCATCAATTCGGACAACTTGAACTTATCTGATATTCTAGGATCAAGTGATCCAAGGCATGTTACTGTGTATAATCAAATGGAAATTGAAAGTTTGCGTGGACAGTTCTTTGATTTAGGTGACTCAGGATCCTTTGTGTTTTGTATTAATCAGGATGAAATACTTAGTTGTATTGGAATGGCAATAGGATACACATCACGTGGCACGTGTCTGGTGACTCCTATAGAGAATGTTTTGAAGTCTCTTAATTTACCGGTGACAAGTAACTGCATCATTCCAGTGGAAGCAAGATTACCTCCAAGTGTCAAACCAAGCATAGAGACAACGGCAATATTAAATGCTATTTCACAAATGAAATCGGACTTTGATGAGCAACAAAAAGATACAGAAAAACGTCTGATTGAGCAACAAAAAAGTATAGAGAAACGTCTGATTGAGCAACAAAAAGATATAGAGAAACATCTGATTGGGCAACAAAAAGATATAGAGAAACGTCTTGTTGAGCAACAAAAAGATATCCAAGATATAAAGGGAAAGCTAACTAAATCCAATCCATCACAAAATTAATCGGGCACGTAATATTAATCCCAATTGAAAGAAATAAGTGCTACAACTCTTAGCCTAGAACTCTGATCTTTAATAAACATTTGTTTACTTTGTTGTGTTTATCGCCCACCAAACTTGTGCAATGATTTTTGGGAAAAATTTTCATGGTCCATTGAAAAAATATGTGATATGTCAAAAAATATTGTAATACCCGGAGATCTTAATGTTGATTTTCTTCAAATAAATCCAAATCATGAAATTTATAATATCATGAACATGGCTGGGCTTGCTAACGCGCTTCATGAAATATGCAGGCGTGAAGCGTCGTAGTTCATGTCCTCATGAATTCTCAAAAATTAAATTCATTTCTTAAATGAATATCTTTAGAATAGTTAAGAGTTAAACAGGTATTGGACAATTTCTTAAAATTGATTAAGCTCTGTAGTTGAATTAGCTATACCAGTATATACCTTGATTTAATTTCATTTATTATGTGGGGACAGCATGCATGATCTTTGACTCTTTTTTTCATTTTTTCTTTATTCACTATTGTTTTTTTTTTATGTTCTATGTTTTGTTTTTTTTAACATAATAATACTAAATTTACAACACATACTAGCCATACGTCTGTATCTGATTTCGCTACTCCATTTGCTGCGATTCATTACACATTTTTCATTCTTTTTTTCTTTTTTTTTTATGGGTAACACCGGACCTTAGAACAATATCGTTCCGCTATCGGGGTTTTCTATATGAAATGTAGAGGAATAATGATAAGGTCTTCATTCAAGGTTTTCAACATTGCTGATTTATTTTATTTTATATATAAGCTGAATACATTATTTCGAATTCACCTGAAAAAAGGTTCATATCTAATTATTATAAATTATTTCTTCCAGCTTCTCATTTTTTTTTTAAAAAATTCTCTTATCTGGTGATATTGAGATTAATCCTGGTCCAACTTTTGAGAATTTCCTTGATATTATACATTTGAATATAAGAAGTATCAGAAATAAAATAGACTCGTTGATTTATTTAGTACAAGACTTTGATATATTATGTTTTACAGAATCCCATTTAAATTCAACTATAAGAAATGATGATCTTCATATTGAGGGATTTGGTAATATTTTTTGGAAAGGATAGGAATTCATATGGAGAAGGAATCATGATATATATGTCTCTAACTTTCTAAAAGTTACTTGAAGGGAAGATTTTATTAGAACCTCGAAATATAGAGAGTATTGGATTGAAATTGAACAACCAAGCGATAACTTATTTATTTGTTGTGTTTATCGCCCACCAAACTCGTGCAATGATTTTTGGGAAGAATTTTCATGGTCCATTGAAAAAATATGTGATATGTCAAAAAATATTGTAATACCCGGAGATCTTAATGTTGATTTTCTTCAAATAAATCCAAATCATGAAATTTATAATATCATGAACATGCCTGGGCTTTCTAACATAATAAACGAACCTACGAGAGTAACACAAAATACAAAAATGTTAATAGACCCTATTCTTATATGTCGGGAAAAATTCGTATTCAATTCAGGTACATTAATGATTGACGCAAATATCAGTGACCACAAAGCTACGTACATATATATGTAAATCAAAATTACTGTAACAATTCTTCATATAAACGCAAAGTATTGAGCTTAAACAAAGGAAAAAAAAAGAAACAACAACAACCAAAAAAAAAAACACATACAAACAAACAACTAGCACTTCTACTAAACTTACCAAAACTATATATTGACAATGTTACATGTTTAATTTGAAAGTGTATAACCAATGGTAAAGAAAAAAATCCGGATCGATATGAAATACGTCCGGTCTTTCGGTACTCTGGTGAAGTGCGAGTTACATAATTGAACGAATTAATTATCGCTAATTAATTACGAACAAGTAGTAAATTGTACACTGTCTTATTCTCTCAAAATAGCGTAACTATACATGATAAAAAAAAAACAAAGAAAGATAATATAGAAGGGACATTTTAGAACAAATGATTGTGTAAAATCGACACTATAATTTACGAGAGGAAATCATTATAAAAATAATATTTTACCCATAAAAGCAGTTTTATCGACTGTGTAATGGTGACTTAAGGAGGTTGGATCCTGTTATCAAAAGTATTGAGCATTTTTTATCAAGTACAATATGAAAGACATGAATGTAAGACTTATACACTGACTGTATATAGTTACGTATATAACACATTTACCAGCATTTAATGTTCCTAAGCATATTTCTTTTCCTGTTGTATCTGAATACTTGATCAACTGATGAAAAATTCAGTAGTCAGTATTAACTCTTTCACGACATTAATCTTTTCAACCTTAAGATGACTTTGCATTAAGAATGATTAAAAAGGCTGCACAAAAGCATGTACAACATTACACAATACTAATACAACATTTATATATAAATTTGTACGAGGGTTGTTCGAAAAGTTCGTGGACTGATGCGATAAAATGAATACTATGTAGTCTATGCTTACAAAATTTGTAATGAACATAAAACAACAAAAGTTAAAGAAATGTTGAAAATTTTAGCTTGATACCTTGAATATTTACCAAATTATCATAAAATAAAAAAGACATTATATGATCACCCGGCGCTGTCGCCATATAGTTTCATGACGTCATAGTTTTTCAATGTCCGCATTCTCTACCTCATACACTTATCTTCATGAGTTTCCGTGGAGTTAAGATTTAAACCCGTCTTGTATATATGATTTTACAATGTCATAAACAGCTGATTTCAATGTATATAATATTGTAAATAGATCTGAAAGATCCTCACTTGATTTTAACAGCATATTTGCTTGGCGGAGTTCAACATCTATCACACATGATCAACGTCAATTTTTGACATGACAAACTTTGAACACTCTTACTACAAATCGACATTAACTTTTACATCTGTCGTCTCTCTAATCTTTTTCGGCGTTTAAAAACAAGTATTCTGAATGCATTAAATTTATTTTTCAGTAGCCCATTTAAATATTTCCTAGGTCTATGCCAGTTTTTCCTGAGGGTGAAACTTCATACAATGTTGGAAAAAGAAACCCACCCCCCTTTCTGACGTCATTACAACCTCATAATTGTTTGGACATTTCATATAATTTTTACGATAGAATTTCATAGAACTTACAGAATGGGGTAAAAATTGCAAATTTTACGGTACAATTGTGTCATACCACATGAGTGAATTAACGGGATTTTTGAATGACAAATGCTCATATCAAAAAATGAGTTTTTTTCTCAGTTACACTTCGGTAGAAATAACGTAATCTTCGAGGTTTCGCCGCCTGGACATACCACTGCTTTCAAAAACATCAACAATTTATTAAAAATAAAACTAATGATGTATAGCTTATTATATAAACAAATAAGATAATGCTAATTAAACGTTAAAAAATTCATTGATGTATCTTGAGCGGTTTTAATTTTATGGCGCTAGTCCACGAACTTTCCGAACAACCCTCGTATATATCCCTGGATTGAAGAAAGAGAAAACTTGCGCTACCATCATTGGTATTGCAGGAATTACTGTAGCCATGAGAAAAGAATGCAGGATCTTGAATGCTCTGAGCTTCCATGCTCTTCCAGACACTGAATCTTTTGGTTTGGTTTCCTTTGGATTAGAGTTCTCAGGGTGGAAAATTTCTCCAGCTAATTTTGACGATGCTGCTGTATTTCCCGAATGAGCAAGGCCTTCTTGTCGGTTTAATGATACTTCGAGATCTGAAGCCGATTGAGTTCGTACATGAGCTTTCAGGTTCGAAAATCGTGAAAGACTCTAATGAATTGGTTTTCCTTTTTGCCGCGGATCGTAAATGTAAAACGCTCGTCTGAATTGGTTGGACAGCAATAGTAGCGACACTTGATTGAATTGTCTTCTCTTTTGAAGATCCTGTGAACTGATCGGTGAAAGACAAAGCGCTTAATTGAAGTTTATTTCCGGGTTTTCGTAATTTATTTTTGCTTTCTGGACTGATTTTATTAACGTTTCCAGAGTTTGTATAGGGGTCCGCGTTTGTTAATTCGGGGGAAATTAATGATTTTATTTTTTGCTATGTAAAGATAAAGTGCCGACATGAGAACAATCTCAATAGAAAAAACCGACCTAGAGGCACTATAGAACAAATACACGTTATCCCCAAACAGTTGTCTAGGTAGACAAACCTCAGAATCTTTCCATGCATATAAAAGTAACAATGGGAGAAATATCAAGCTGGAAAAACCCAAGGAACATCCAAGAAAAACCAGCCTTGTTTTCTCTTTAGTCATTAAAGAAAACGCTCTACGTAATGTCATTTTTAAAGCACAGTAGCGCTCAACACATACGTAGAGGAGGTGATTATACACATTATGTCGACAGACGGTACACAAAAATATGATCACTGTACATGTATAGTCACCACAATGTGTGTAAAACAATGAAAATATAGAGAGAACGTCAAATAAAATCTCACTGAATGAAATGATTAGAAAAACCAAAAACTGACTGCGCTTCCGTAGAGTTTTGTTTTTCGTCAAACCGATACAAGCAGCAACATTGAGTAGAGTTGAAATGCATAATATGACCCCCGTGATGATATAAACTAAATGTACTTTCTCTTGGAGAGGATCCATAAAAGTCAAATTTGTAAAGGATGAAAATGATGAATTCTTTTCCATAATTTGATTTTAGTGGCAATCTGTGATAACAATGCACAAGAACTCTCGCTCTGAGCTTAGTGTAAATATTGACCATAGATTCTGCCTTATATATACATATCTATCAAGTTTTCCGATATCATTGCACCTACGTTTTTACATTGTAGAAATATTCTTTCTTATTTAATGCTGGATGTTTCATATATATGTAATTTCGTGTTATTTGTTTTGAAAGTAAAAAAAAAATGTAGTTTATTTTCATTAATAGTTTTCATTTAAAAAATTAACATGCCTATTGGACTCTTCTTGACATTTTTATTAGACATTTAGTGTGCATTCAAAATAGCCAAAATTTAACGTTAAAGCTAATATAGTCTTTTCATGCGGAAACTAAA